TGTGTCACTGAGCCTTATATGGTCAGCCAGGCCTCTCATTGCTTATAGGGGCCCTTGGATTTCTTCACTGTAAGTATCAGAGATAGACATGGTTCTTAGGAATCCAAAGAGATTCAAATGTGAGTCTATCGTGGAATCTTGCACATGGAAAAGACCCAAATATAAGAAGAGATAAATCATTATAAGGGTTTAATTGATATCAGGTTCTTGTTCACGGAGTAGAAGAATGAACTTAGCAAACACTCAAGGTAGGAGAGCCAGGAAGAGGCTTTTACAAAGAAATAAAGTGAGAGGAAGGGACAAGAGAGCCCTTGGTGGTGTGTTGTCTAGGGGATTTAGAGGCAGTTGAGGATTTTCAAGAATGGTGGTAAAGGGATAGGGGTGCAGACATGTTGAGTGGTCCCAGAATGCTCATTTTTTATGAGTAACAGAAGAAATTTGCTGCTCTGATTCCTTCTCAGGATAGCAGCTTCCCTCTGGGAGCATATCAACTAAGACTGCCTGCCCTGCCCCCAAGGTGGGTTGGGCTGTTGTCTTTTTACTAAAGAGTGTGTTTAAGAATCTTACTTCTTAACTTCTTGGGCTGTTTATAGCTGCACTTGCTTACCAAATTAATCTTTTGCCCAGGTTGCAGATTACTTGATTAAGGTTAGAGAAGGAAAAATAGCATATAGGTAAAGTTAAAAATAAGCTGGGCCTTTTAGCAGGCTAAGATAAATTTTACAATGTCATGACCTAATTGACACAGTGAAGGCATGGGCTATGCTGAGATACTTTTCCTTATCTGAGGAACAAACATTCCAGGCTGCTCCTGGCCTTTTGAACTTTAACTGATTTCACTGAAGAATCTTTGTATTTCTAGTTTGGTATCTTTACCCTAGAGAATTAGCATGACTCTGACTTTGTGTAATGCTTAACACAGAGTTTCGATAGGGACTCCTTTGCACATTCTTACATTCTTCAGGCTGTAATTATCTTGCTTTGCTCTTTTCTGGAGGCCCTCAGCCTACTACTCTGCCGAAAAGCATGGTTCCTGTCTCATCATGATGGGAAATCTGTAAAATGTGAAGTTATAAATGTCCAGGAATGGAGTTAGGATTTATCTGTCTTTTTGGGTTTTGATTATTCTTCAGACAAGGTAAATTTAAAATATTTTACAGCTTCATACAAATTTTGGAGTTCTGGACAATTGTTCTATTCCCATGATGTGGTCCAGAATGTCATTTAAACAAATCATGGCAGACAATGAAATTTAGAATCTTTTTCTGTGTGTGTGCTTTTGGAAAATGATAGAGGAAATAAGAGTTAAGAGGCTCTCAAGATTAGGAGCATTGTCACGTGAGAAGCACTAGTTAGATTGCATGTGAATGAGCAAATAGATGGTAAATTCATCCTTGGAGAAGGTAGAAAATAGCTGTCTGCCATGTCAAAGTTACTGGAATGGTTTACAGAATTTGGGATCTGGAAATAGCAAATGAGGGCATGAGAAACAGAGCTTGGGTGACTTGATCAAATTCCCACCATTTCTAGGCTTCCCAGTACAGATTTTAAGGCACCAGATAGTATATGAAATAAGGAGGGAGGGGCCCAATAAAGCACCAAATATATATATATTTTTTTCTTTTCTTTAATGAAGGTCTCCTATGTGCCAGTCATTGTACTAAGCCCTGCATATAGGGATGGTTTAAGGTGACTTAAGGGGCCCAAACTAACACAAAGGAAAACTAACATGAACTTTCACAGATTATCATACAATTATAATTGATATGTGAAGAAAGTCCAGGGAGAAGCATAAAGGACGGAGCTACCAACTTCTGTCATTCAAGTGAACTTGGATTGATCTCTAACATTTAATTATCTCTAGAGAAGTTATTTAATGGGCTAAACCTTTCATTTCCTGACTATTGCCTCAGATTCAAATGGGGAGTGTCACTGTTCAGTGCTAAATTTCCAGTGCCTAAAAAAAGACAAACTAAAACAAAAAATACAGTGCCTGCTAGGGCTCAAATACAATGAAGGACTGCATTAATGAAAAGATGAATGAATGAGTACTTGTAGGAATTGTGGCAGAAACAGTTTCCAATGACAACCTTAAAAACAGTAACAAGCAAGTTGAAGAAATTTGATGTTAATTTTAAAAGCTCTGTAATTAATTTTAAAAGCTCTAAAAACCTTATATATTTGTTTTAAAGATAGGCTTCTTACTCAAAAGGGTTAATTAGCTAAGTACCCAAAGTATTTTACTACTGGATTCAGTGAAACAACCATAGTGGACCCCATTTCAAAAAAGTGTAAGAACTTGTTTCATTGCCCAAAAATGTGCTCTTCTTTAATTCTCTGTGTGCATGAGAATTAAGATGTTCTTTCCTCCTTACTGAAGGCTAGGAAAATGTGAAGTACTGTTGGTTTACAATATCTGTAACCAGAGAGGTAGCCAAAATAACTTTCCACCCAGGTGAAAAGTGAATTTCAGATTTTTTAAACATTGCTTACCATTACCAGAACAAATCAAGGATTTATTTCACTTATTTCATGTTTTCAGTAATAGTTGTGAAGTGAGATCAGGAAAAGTATATTTCTATTTGTGCCAGATTTCCTTGGTCTACATATTTCCTATTATCAGAATGTTGATATATATACAAGTGTTTACAATCACCACATGATAATACAAGTCCGTTTCTTTCAGTGAAGTTATGGTTTTTGGAATCTGGAGTGGAGAGCAGTGACTCAATGAATACTTTCCTTTGTTATATACAGTGTGTCACTGAGCCTTATATGGTCAGCCAGGCCTCTCATTGCTTATAGGGGCCCTTGGATTTCTTCACTG